TTGTATTCAATTATATGCCTAGTTTTTTATATATGTTATATGGAGTTTTCTACATAGAATATAATGTTGTTGGCAGATTAATATTTCCTCTTTCTTAATTCACTGCATAAGATGTCACGTTTAATTACGTGACGCCTGAAACGTGATTCGGAAAAGTGTCGTTTATAAGTCATATGATAGCATTTGTCGCACTATCCTGTCACCATCGAAAAACTAAATTTATGAAAGCAAGAATCACATTTAGCCTTGTTTTAATTTCAATTTGGCAGTTATAAAACTTCGATTTAACAGCCCTTGTAATTCATATTACACGTGTCTGTTTACCATGTGTTTAACTGCGTTTTTGCACTATTGTATAACTCATAAGTAGAGACTTTATTAATTATTTTTTCAATCGTTTTTCTTTCGTTATTCTCTTTTAGATGCAAACATCCTTTCAAGATGTAAGAAGATTTGCTGATTGCTCAGTTTAGAACAGAAATTAAAAGTAATATATTTTAAATTTGTTTTTTTATAAATAAATAATAACGTTTGTAAAATGTATATACATGTAATGACAATCAATTATTGTACAGATATTGAACTTTATGAAAAGATTTGGTAAAGTATCTCTATGCGTATCCATGAATGATCACTTCAACGTTACCAAGAAATTTCCGATTAAAGTATATTTAATACGATTTATAATATTAATTATGAAAATCTTATATTAATATATTTAATTTTTCAAATTTTTCAGATGGCTAGCTCACTATATTCCGTATTTTCTGGTCTTTTGAACCTCAGAACAGCTTCAAGACCTAAAAATTGATATATTTTCTGAGTATATTTTTATTCTAAAATAAACATATTTAATGGTATAATAGGATAGTTGCACAAGTAAATGACCAATTCAGGACTTTGATGAAAAGATTTAAATATAATCACTGAACAAACAGGCATTTAAGATAACTAGTTGTCATTCTGGTAAACAAGAACTCGCACCATTCATTCGAAATGTAAATATTTATTTTTCTGTAATATTGATTAATTAAATTAATGACATGANAACACTGTTGATTATTCCGTTTTATATGAATTCTATGTTGTACGAGTCACTTAGATTTTACAAATACGTGAGCCGTTCATAGCCTGGCGCACGTATATGTAAAATCTAAGTGACTCGTACAACGTGGAATTCATATAAAACGGAATATCAACAGTGTTATAGGGGGGTCGACTGTATTTTTCAAATTCAGAGTAGTAAAGCTTGTTAATTTTTTAAATATTTAAAATTTAGTAGATATTTAAAAAGCAGATATTTAAATTTTTTTAAATTTTAACAAATATTACTATATATGTCTTAAAATTCTGAAGTAATGAAATAGAGTTTTTGCGATTAATTAGGTTTTCTTTAATAATTGTTTTCGTGACAACATACAGGTAAATCTATTAATGATTTTTATATCATGAATACGATGACGAGTGTCACGATTTGAGAATTATTTTTTAAATATTCTTTTTAACAGGAAAAAATTTAAATAACACTGATTATCAGTCAACGGTCTACATTATATATAACACATTATAATTATGGCGAAGTATGGAAATGGTGACAGGTACTCTAATAGAGTACCTGTCACCATTTCCATACTTCGCCATAATTATAATGTGTTATATATAATGTAGACCGTTGACTGATAATCAGTGTTATTTAAATTTTTTCCTGTTAAAAAGAATATTTAAAAAATAATTCTCAAATCGTGACACTCGTCATCGTATTCATGATATAAAAATCATTAATAGATTTACCTGTATGTTGTCACGAAAACAATTATTAAAGAAAACCTAATTAATCGCAAAAACTCTATTTCATTACTTCAGAATTTTAAGACATATATAGTAATATTTGTTAAAATTTAAAAAAATTTAAATATCTGCTTTTTAAATATCTACTAAATTTTAAATATTTAAAAAATTAACAAGCTTTACTACTCTGAATTTGAAAAATACAGTCGACCCCCCTATAACACTGTTGATATTCCGTTTTATATGAATTCCACGTTGTACGAGTCACTTAGATTTTACATATACGTGCGCCAGGCTATGAACGGCTCACGTATTTGTAAAATCTAAGTGACTCGTACAACATAGAATTCATATAAAACGGAATAATCAACAGTGTTATAGGGATATATATGAAATAAAATAAAAATTTTTTCTGTTAATCTTTGTAATATTATCTGTAAAACCAGTATAATAAGTCCTGATAATAGAAGATACGAATTTATAGTCGAAAATTTACATNTATTTAATTACAGTAATATAAAAAATTGTTCGAGGCTTAAGGAATTAGTAATTAAATTCCAATTAATTTGGTACAAGATTAATGCATAATATGTTATTCAATTTAATAAGTATAATTAAATTATTCAATATATACTGCGGCTAAAACGATTTGCAGTGGTTTGTTCGAATGTCTATCTGTTCCAGAATGTTTCTGTAAAATTTTACGGGTTTTAGAACCCGTAAAATATTACAGAAACATTCTGAAAACATTTTTCCATATATTATTTGCAAATTGAATTTAGAATAATTCACGAAAATGCAGCCTATACTAAATTTTGGAGTTTACGCTTTAACTTTTTATTTCAATAGAAGAATTATATCTCGGGGAAGTTGTTATAATGTTTTTTCGTAAAATTATATTTGTATCTAAAGTGCTCTTACTGTGATATATTTTTTGGCTACTTTTTATCAACGCATTATTTCTTCTAAAACTCACTAAAACTAATTGAAATTTTTAAGAAGTTGGGACAATGACAGCTATAGTTTTTCTTGTGTTTTTATTAAATTTCTAAAGCAAAAAAGCTATATAGCAGGGGTGTCCAACCCGCGGCCCGCGGGCCGCATGCGGCCCAAGGCAAGTTCCAATGCGGCCCAATAAACGTGTAAACAAAACCGACAAATGTTTTAATTTTTTTATTATTTATTTATTTCAACGGCATAAACTCAACAAAAGTTTCACAAAGCCATAAACCTTTATTTATATTTTGTTTTTGAGTGGAAAGAAAATATTTTCAAATACTTTGAGATGTGTGAATGCGGAATGATTACTAAATAAAGCTGGAGTTGTGACTCAAAGGATTATAGACCCAAATTTGGGAAAAGGAGGGAAAGATGAGAAAGGACAAAAGATGTAGTAGTAAGAAACGTTAAATAGATCTTTAAACAAATAGAGAGTCCTTAGGAACCCGTAATTTTTAAACCTTTTTCACTTCTTTATCTTTTGTTCTTTGCCTCTTTTTCCCCGCACTTGGGTCTATAATCCTTTGATTTACAGCTCCAGCTTTATTTAGTATTTCTTCCAACGTTGCAAGATTTGGCTA